TATTTATACGTATAATATATATATATATATATACGCAGAGTAAAACATAAAACATTTATATAACGCGCATGAAGTATAAATAATTCTTAAAGCTTAATTTCTTAGAAAGACATGATAACTATCGCAAGGACGTGATAACAAAGTCGATTTTTGGTATCTACTAGTGTTCTCCCAATATATACTCTCTACTCCAGTTCTAAATAATAAAATATGTATAATAAACCGTAAAAATGTATACATATATAAAATTATAATTATGAATTATTTAAATTATTCATTATTCATATCAATAATATATATCCCTGATATAATGTAACATTATATGGTAACATAAATAGGAATAAAGAGTCATTATTTTTCTCATATTTTACAAAAAAGTTATTTATATTTATTATTATTAATGTGTTTTTATAACTTTATATTTTATCACATTTTATCAATAATTTGAAATATTACATGAATATTCCATAACGAAATTATATATATTAAAAATTTTTTTATTAAGCATATAATATAACAGATATTATAGTTGTATATTAAAAATTTCCTATATTTTCAAAGATTAAAATTTATCTAAATGTGTTTTCTAGTATATAATATATTATATGACACTATATTTTACGTAATTAAACTCAATTCTTCCTAATTTGATAGCAAAATCAAAAAAACATGGCTCTTTAGATGCTATCGATATCAAATGATATTTACGGCCAATAAGAGTCTAATCGCGGATGACGAGACAAAATAATTAAACGTTGTCCAAAAGAACTCTGTAAAAATATACAGAAAACTTTCAAAATTTTCTGGAGAACACTTAATTATTACAAACATTTAATTACTTTTGCGCGTGAATAGGCTCTTATTAAACTATAATAGTTATTTAATGCTGATGACTAAAGCTATTATTTTTTTCAATAACCAATGTATATCTGTAAACATATATATCTTAATTAATAAGTTTAATTATTTATCACTTTTTAAATTTTGTCTATAAATTGTAAAGCGAATGCTTTTATCGTAAATAGAACAAGTGCGACGTAATTCGCATTATCGAGTTGTTTCATTTTACTTCTTTTATCTTGTAGTGGGACAGTTTTACGGCAGTCATTGCGAGTCTTCTCGAAAATAATTCGTCAGTGAAGATAAGATTTCGTCGTGAACGCTCGCATATAAGCCCGATCAGTTGCATAAAATATTACATCATCAATTGAAAATTTCAAATGTGATCGTCTTGTATCAATTATAAAATCATTTCAATATCATATCGCGTCGAGATACATAGTAAAGCGTCCAATAATTGCTCGCTCGTTAACTTAACACAGGTGATTCGATTCAATTATGCTTGTTTATTAATTAACGTTCAGAGATCGCATACACTCGTAAGATTTCGAAGTCTATATAGCTCCGTTATTTTCTTGAAAAAAAACAAAAAGAGAAAAGAAACATTGCGACACGATCTCGTGCTCCGTAATAGAAAAATGTTGTCTACCGCAAACGACGAGAGGAAAAAAATATGCCGACTGCGGATAGACTAAAATCGATTATGTAATGCAAGCGTGTAAACTACCGGAGAGGACGTGCAGCCACTTGTAAATTAACGCGGTTGTAATTAATGCAAGCTGCTGGTAATTGCGACTGCAAAATATGTATCCCGGTGAGCGAAAACGCTACGTGAGCGAAATTTATTAAAATTTACTACTCGGGAATTATATTGCCGAGGTTACCGAGGATTTTCGGTAATAACGAAGCGAGTCGCTTCGTTATCGCCTTATCACATCGCTTGCTGATAAGGTGCAATCGCGGCTCTCAAAGACGATACCTCGTAGGTTTCATCGCTCGTTTATCAAGTGATAGAAAACACAGGCTAACGTTCCAAATTGTAAACGCTATAGTAATAGTTTATTAATTAATCTTGACAGTCTAAGTACTGTAGATATATTTTTTTTATTTTAAAATTTTTTATGTTTTAAGAATTGTATTCGTATTTAAAATTGGTAATATTCAAATCGGCTTTCTATATTTATAAAAAAATTTATTATATCTAAATTTTTTTCTAATTGTAAGATATTCTTATATCTCACACAAAGTAATAAAATCTCACAGTTTATAAAAAATCATTTTATATCGTTATTAGAGAGCATCTTATTCACACCTCATTTTATCTCTTCCATTATATATATAAATAATGTTTACTATAAAAATTATTCCAACGCAAAAAAAAATTAATAATATAATCATTCCAATTGTATATTTCTGCATCTAAACTAATCTAAAATAAGAAAAAGATCCGTTAAAGATATGAAAATGTTCTAAAATCCCGATTTAATTTCAGTACCTTTCGCGTTGCAATTGCCGAATCAACGACTGTTTAAGCAGTTGCTTGTAACTGCGGTGGAAATGTCATCTGAGTAAATAGAACGCAGAACGATCTTGCTCCATCGAGAATATCGTCGCGACGTTCATTTATGTCGTACAGGTTTGTACATGGATTAGTTGAAACACGTTAATTACGGGTGACGCGAAGTTGGCACGTCTTCAGAATCTTACGAGCATCGAATACTAACCACCTTGCAATTTCACTGCCCAGAAAAAACTAAAAATGTAAAAACAATATGGGTATCATTCTTTTACGTATATATAAAGAAAGATGGATCATGTGTTATAATACCGTCGTTATTACAATACTTGACAATATTTGATATTTATTTTATGACATTTAAATTTTTCGACAACAGAATCGTGCGGATTATTGAATTATTATACGAGATGAGAAACCAAAACAATATAAAAAACGATAGAGGCACATGAATTACTATAAAAAAGTTTATATCTTTCATATTAATTTTTTGCGTCCCAATAAAAAGAAAAATTTCATTTAAAAAAGGACCATATTTAATTCGGCGATTAATTTTAGGGGGCACCGAACTGCTTGCAATTTCTCGTACTTCGCGGCATTGTTGGTTGGCCAAAAGGATGTGTTAACAAGTCGTGGCACGAGCTGGTAGCAAAGCGCTTATGTTTGCGGTGCAATCAGATGGCGGCGCTAAAGAGGAAGAGGCTCCTCGCACCTTCCTGATAACGAGTCATGCCGCTAAGTTGGAGCAGCCACACTTTTGCGTGAGGAGCTACCTCCTTCCTTGAGTTGCGGACCAGCTATACTGGTAGCTGATCGCTGATATTGGTTAGTGCATTACAAATGAGGCAGAGATCATGAGCTTTGCAAATAAAAGTGGCCAGTCATTTGCATAGCAGATATATTGCAGATATATATGTATGTATATCATAGAATTTTAACAAAATTAGAATAAGAAGATTGAATTAAAGTGCGCGATATTATGATAAAACAATTATCAAGCAGTATGAGAAATTATAATTATAATTAGCAGACGACTTTAAAAAAACAAAAGTATATACGCGCGCGATAAGGTTTTAATAGATTAGAGAATTGGGAAAAAAAGAAGTGAGAGAAAGAGAGAAAAAGAGAAAAAGAGAGCTGAGAATTTGCTCCTGAAAAATGACATTCAAAAAACATAAAACGTTCTGAAAAATATACCTTCAATATTATATTATTGCTACATTGTACAATATTGAGAAATTCTTAATTTTTATTTTTAATTCTTCAATTTTGTTCAAGAATTTCAAATATTATTATAATTATAAAATAAATATAAATATTTCAGAAAAATTGAACTGGATTCATTCATCTTTTTTTATACTAGCAAGTTAAAACCTTGCTGATGAGGTTATTCAGGGCTCTCGTTTTACGATACCGTCGCGGTATTGCGTACAATGAGTTTCGCGTGATAACCGTTATCGCGCAAAATTTATTGAACCTAATAAATAGACTTTTTTCTTCAAGGAAGTTCCTTCGCATATGTTACATAAGAAGTGAGTAATACTCTGAGTATCCCTCTTTCTCTCTCTGTAAAAATTAATATAAGATATATAACTATTTAAATATTTAAAGAATTCTGTAGATACTCTCTTTCTCTCCTTTTCTATCTACTTCGTACTTAATATTTGTTATATATGTTATAATGTTTCTATGCTATCACATGGAAAAATTAATGAAATGGAAATGGAAGAAAATTCAAAACTGAGGGATGAAGCGCTCGCTATGAAGAGAGCTATCCATCGACAGTATGGTAATGATAGACACTGTCATGGAGTTGCTCTCTTTGTGGACGCCGCTTGATTCAACGCTTCAACGAATTTATGCATTGTTGCGAGCATAATCTACAAGGAGAAAACTGCGTTTTGGTGTATTTATACATTGATTTTTCTCAATTCTAATAATTTTTGCTGATTTATATTTATAAAGAAGAACGTTGCACATTATATATATAATAATATTATTATATTAATTGTATATAATAAAAGCATATTTCTCTCCCTCTCTCTCTTTCTCTCTCATAGCATACAAAATATAAAAAAATTCCATAATATATTTCATATTTTAATCTTCAATATTTAACCTGTATGTTAAAGAATTTTAGCATCAAAAAATATTTTATATTCTTTCATACTTTCAATACTTAAAATTTTAGTATCAAAAAATATTTTTTGATGCTAAAATTCTTTAACATACAGAAGTGGTGACTATAATAGTTGTAAAACAATTGTGTGTGTGTATATATATATTGTGAACATTGTTAAATTTATAAGTTGAATGAAACGGTTTAAATTGTTTTGCGAGCTGTATGTGTTTTGCAACTATTATAGTCACCACTTTGACGATTGCAGATTTACGGAAATGAATCAGCCAATTTACGTAAAAATTGCGTAATCTATAAATCTATTAAAACTGATCCCTAATCACTTGACGATCATGCAGCGGAAATTGCGTGACACTCCACAAAGGATTAATGCTATCACACATACTTTATTTCCCCGCTGTGATTCAATAATGTCGTATGCTGTGCTAGAGCTTGATCGTTATTAGTTGTACGAATAGTGTATCAAAGTGCCCTGCACTCGATCGATAGCCATAACATTCTCTGCAGATATAACTACGAACATGGAACGGTGAACTCCGAGGGACGACGACCTTATCGTCGATTAAAACAGCGCAATCATTGGCACTAGAATCATGAGACAGCTCATGTTTTGTATCACAGGTTTACCAGGAAGAAAATTTTCTGTGCTGTTATTTTGATTTTGATATGTTAATAATTGAATGAATTTCAAAGACTGTCAATGAACTAAAACTTTAAAGATTACACTTTCTTTTTAATTTCAATTTAACTGTAATTTAATGTTTAAAATTTCAATATCAAATTTTTAGCATTAATTCTTCTCGTTCATATTGCAAACAATAGGAAAAATATATATAAAGAAGTAATAAAAAATATACAAACAATATGTCTGATCCGAAAGAATTATAAAGTTTCGATATAAAATTTTTTATCAATCATCTAAAGCATTCTCAAAATAGCATATAACTGAAGATATTTGTTGTATCATAAAAATATTGTAAATCGACTTAGTGTTTCAGAGTGTCCTTGCTTTTTATCATCTATATCTATAGAATTGTGATTATATATTATATCTGCTTTGCCATCTGTATATATCAACAGAAAGTATAAAGAAAATATCTAATAATAATATGAATTTACAATCATCCAAAGAATCATATTATTTTTAAATACTCCAAACTTAACACACATACACATTATAATATTTCTAATATATGCAGAAAAGTATTATCAATATCTTGTATTATCAAAATGCTGCTGGTAAACTAGAATACTGCAATTTTACATAAGTATTATGTGGATTGTAAATTTATACAAATATGCTTTGTTCATTAGTATATAAGTTTAAATAAAATAATTCTTTATATACATATATGTATATTTTCCTGATATATTTTTGTAGAAAAATGCACGCATTAATTTGTTTATTGCAATGAAAGATTTAATGATATAATTATATAATAAACTGTGAAAGAAAAAGAATTATTAGAAAAAATTCTAATTAATTTATCAATAGTTTCATTCACAAGGTTAATTCATGAATGATGCGGAGTTTATAATTACAAGATTAAAGGTTTCTCAACGAGGAACATTATCAAAGTATGTATCTCCAGAATGGTACGTCTAATGATTAATAATAGTTCTCTAAAGAGGGTTTTAAAAAAGATGCGCGTGCATGCGCTCGGAGGCGTGCTCCATTTTTAAATCGTTCCACCAGGAATCTGCAGACCGCCGACGTCGACGGCGGTGACTGTCAGTAGGCCGGCGTCATGTCTGCTATTATTCGACGAGCCATCGGAGAATCGGGCTCAGTCGCGTGATAAACGTGGAACATCCAGGTAGGTGGGTGCTTGCACGATCATCAAAGCTTGACGCATCCTCGTGCGCGCGGAAGAGATCAACTTTTTTCATCGGATCTATCCAAAGTGTCGTGTGACCGAGAAAAAATTTATTTTCTACTCTATTCTTGATTATGTGAACAAAGTTCGACAGAATTTATTTTTCAGCCTTACATATATATAATTTCCTAATTTTTCAAAATATTTTATACGACACATATATGTGTACATATGTGAAAAAAATATAATGTAATATACTGTAATATATTCAATGTTTAGTGCTTCTCTTATAAATAATACGATGTAACATTTGCTGTAAATAATTAGTGCATATGCTGCTATCAATGTGTCAAGTTGGAAGAAGACTCAAGTTAATAATTGTACGTATATCTCTGGAAAATTTTTTTTTGAATGCGTTGTGCTTAATTCGCCTGACATATTTCTACTCTTATTGAATTAGTTTAACGTTATTGGTGCGTAAGTACGACCCGATGCGCAATTATCTGCACACTCGATACGCATGGCCGCTAGTAGACCGAGACCACCGTTAAATCTCGAGTACTATAATACTATACTACTCTCCTACTCTGAATAAAAAATATTTTGCACGCGTGGGTGCTTCCCAACATTCAGATAGAGATTTTACTTACTATCTCATAGATCTTTTTTCTCGAATGCCGGAATATAACACTATTCTAAAGTGTTAAAACCATCTTGACTTTGTTGATAAAATAATCATAGCGCATAAAGTTACTTTTTTTAAGGATATTCATAGAGATAGATTATCAGAAAGATTCATATAAGAAACAAGTTATAAAATAGCAAAAAGATAATGAAAAATTTTTGTAAATTTCAATCGTATCATTTCAATTAATGTAAAAATATAGCTGTACTATCAAATTAAAAAAATACAACAAAACACGCAATGAAATAAAAATAGAAATATTCATATTATTGGATGAATTAAAAAATGATTAAATGCGATTTCGTTGGTAAATCAATATATAATAATTTTAATATATAAAAGTTATTATATAGATTTCGTCCCTTGATGTGATATAATTATTGATTTGATGTCATTAGGAAACAGTTCAATGTTTTTTTGAACGTGTGATTGTCCTCACCAACTTTGTCATTGAAAATGCATAAATTTATATGTTTGAGCAATTTGTCAAATTTTATGTCCTTTGCTATAGTCGATATAGCAACTCATAAATATACATTTATTATGATCCATAGTTACATCTCACATTTAGCCGCAAATGTGGCTATGATGATTCTTGGTTAATGACAACCGCATTGAATGCGGTTTTAGTATTAACGAAGTAAATTAGATGGCCACATTTATAATACAATACCAAGTGTGCGGTGTAAATATGTATCCATGAATTTATGCAGCAGCAAGGAAACCGAAAATGAGTTTGCGCTGGATTCACGAGAATCTAGAACCACCAACATGCGACGAGGAGTGCAGCGATATCGATGATAGTTGCAGCGATGATAGTTATGACACGGAACTATCTCTTCAGGAAGACGATGACGTAATGGAAAATGGGAAAAAAATCGCTCGCGATATCCGGAAGAAGAGGGAAACTAAAAGACCTCCGACCACGACCGTCACCTTTGACGGGAACGGGTATATATGATCAACTGGATATATAATTAAATCGAGAATACGCGCCACACGCATATAATTAGCGATTTCTATATATTTTGCATTTAAAAGTGTAATTTAAAAAATATCTCAATGTAAAATGCGGAAATTACCGTCTAATCTGCAAAGAATGGTAATAATTAACTTTGATGCATGTCCCTTGCATTTCATCTACGAGAAATCTAGAAACGTGTAATTCGCGTAAATGAACGGATTAGCATAATTAATGGGACAAGGTAAAATGTCTGGCCGTCACTAGATACACGGCAAATGCGTTTGTCTACCTACCTAGTCGCCCTCCAACATTATAACGTACATTCATTGATCACTTGACTCGATTAACTTTCTGCTCCATATCGCCACAGGGTCAGCAGATGCATTGGGTGTAGTTTGTGTCATTAACGGTATCAAACGCGAGCATAGTGTCGTACGTAGTATTGCGACTACAATTTCCCGTGAATTCAGCAAGTTCCCGCCATGACGTGCGAAATTATGATTGACATTCTGACGTATTTGGCGAGATGCAATTTGCACCATTCGAATAGAAACGGAATTTCATCCCGTTCACACACAAATACAAAAAGGAATTATCTTTTTTTTAACTTTCTATTAAAAGAAAGATTTTGCATTGCATAAAAGAAGTTTTTTAGAATCTCAAAATAATAGCTAAGAAAATAATTAATAAACATTAATTTTTATAGTAACTTGTGATGAGATATACTTTAATATAATAGATATGATATCTCTCCCTTTTAATAAGATATCTTGAAAATCTCTAGATATCTTAAAAGATATCTGAAAAATATATTACAGTAATTATAGTAATAAAGAAGTAATAAATAAAAGTGATACAGCAGTAAATAAAGACAACAGATATACTATTAAATAAAAATTAATAGATTGAATATTCCTTCTTGGAAAATTACCTATTAAATTTCTTTAAAAAAAAAAAAGAAAAAAAAAATTCGTTCTTTGAACAAAATTTGATACATTAATCCTAAATTATATTTTCCGATAAATAAAATAAAAATACGTAGCTTCGTTCGCGAATATATTGTTTATTTTCGCGTGGAAGTGAATTTTATTTACACAGTAGGTTTATTGGCACGGCTTGTATACGAAGCCATTAAAATTAACCGCTTTAATACTTTATCTTTTTGATGACGACCAAGCTGTTCGCGTAACTCTCGCACACAAAGCCTATTGACATTTCGTTTCCTCCCCTCGAGAATCGGTTTAAAATAACGAAGTGCGCGAGAGCGTTTACAGTATAGTGATGCGCTTCATTCACGAGGCTTGCTGACCTGAAAAACTGGCCGACCTATATATTTTCCAGCATCTATATAACGGTGTGAACACCCTTCATAAAGGCAAAGACATTTCCAACGACTGACGGCTTAAGAGACATAATATACTTAAAAACTCGAAAAAAATATCACATATATATATATATATATATATAATGAAATATTAATTTAGTACTATTATACACATTTCACGAGGGTTCTGTTAATTATAATATAAGTGAGAGACTATTACAATTTCTTTTTATTCCTAAGAGTACTTTTCTAAAAATGCAATACATTTTTATTTCTCATGTAATTTTGTTTCATGTCCATTGTAATTATAGAACTAATTTGCCATACCGTTAATGTTCTTAATTAACACAATCTTTATAGCTCTCATATACTTTTGTTTTTATGTATGAACGTATGTATGTGACTCCATACACACATTCACAGACAGACATATATATATATATTGCTTTTTTTTGTTCTTTTTATTTATTTATACAATTTTTGTTTTTTTATCATTTTCTTGATATATATTATTCTTTGATATGCGTATTAATCTTAGTTTGTGTGATGGAACTCCTTTTGCATAAAGAATAGATTTTTTTTTTCTCTGTCTCTCTCTCTCTATTACATAATATGTAACATAGGTATTTATGAGTTATTATCGGATTGTAATTATAGAACGCCGCGTAACGTCGAACGCAATTCCAAACCACGCAAATATACGCCATACGTAATATGGGATCCCCGACAGCCAGCGAAAAATCCTGTCTATAATTGTCGGATAATAAAACTGTACTGCCGAACAGGGTATCATCTGGCAATTACACCGTCCGGACGAATCCGAGGATTATCCGGCAACAAAGAGTCGCACGGTATTTCCATTGTCACGAAATGTTAACCGGAGTAATGACCGGAGTAAAATAAAGACCCAAGATATGTTATATATGTCTAGTACAAGTACAAGTACTATTTACAACTATTGCTATCATTATTATTATTAACATCATAAATTATAATTTTTGTAAGAGATTATACTTTTGCAGCTCTGCTTCACGTGACGCCGGTATCTTTCGGCGTTATTAGAATACAAAGTATCGAAACGGGGCTTTATTTGGCATTTAATAAAAAAGGACGATTATATGGAGAGGTATGATATAGATATAAAATATGGAGAGAAAGAATATATTGTCTATATAAAAATGTAATGCAAAATGCCTTTCTATGTATTGTTACGTTATGAAAAAAGCTTTTACTACCGAGAGAAATATGAAGTATAACATGTTGCGCAACGCTATTTATATCTGCAAATTTTATACATAGCATTCTATAATGCCGTGGGTAAAATTCTACACAGTTCTATAAAATTATCTCAATGACTTTATTCAACCTAATTCTCACAATAATTTTAACAAGACTCTCTAATTCTATTTAATAATAAAAATATAATAGTCAGCATAATTATTAATTTGATAAAATTATTTTTAAAAAATCACTTAAGAGTTTGTTAAGGATAATAAAAATTACTTAAACACAATCCATGTAGTTGATAAATCACTTCTCTAAATATTTATTAATGAAAATTTGAAGATGGTTAAAATCGATTATTAGTAGATCTAACTTGTCTCTTATATATTTTGATTCCAGATAAATATGACTAACGATAATACCGAATGGGAACAATGGAGTATAGGTTCCTACGATGCATTTCGATCGCGCAAATACGTGCATTATGGATGGTGGATAGGGATAAAGAAGAATGGACGAGCAAAGCCAGGCCCGAAAACATCTTGGGGGCAAAAAGCAATACAATTTTCGGCTATCCAAGAGGACTAATCGAGAATTAATCGGAAAGTTTTAGCACATAGGCATGCTTCTTATATTTTATTCATTATAAACTTATTGTTCGGAAAAGGAACCCAGGACAATGATAAATGAGTGTTTTATGAGAAAAAAAAATGATGCCGCTTGATAAAAAATTCATTCGATCGAGGCACTGATCGAATAGCAACACGTTCCAATAGAATATAATGTTTATTATAACACTGTTTTACTCAACAATGGGATAATTTAGGATTGTGCATTCTGCTTGTGCCCTCAAACTGAAACTCTATCGCAAGTTGCAGTTTTTCATTTGCGGTAAATATATATTTATTATTATGCGTCAATCGTGTCGATTCGATACGCTTACAAGCAAGATGACTGCACGTATGTGTCATCTTTAAAAATCAACTCGTTCCGTCATAAATAGCAAACTTTAAACTAGCTCGCATCTTGCTCGTAACGTATACTATATATGTAGCATATTAATTTTTCATATGTCATCAATTATAGCGTATTCTAATTGTATATAATTATCTCTTTTGTACATCTACATACAATGCATATATAATAAATATGTCAAAATTTCGAAGCAAGAGTTTGTATTAAAACAAGAGGTATTTCGACGAAATGTATACGTGGCTCCAAATTTCTTGATACTTAGTTTCGCAAATGTAAAGTGCGCATATCGGATAAACTGCTGAAAATGTATATAAATGCAAAGAGCAAATGTATGAACGAAATACATTAGTTGTATATAAAATTGATTAAATGAAATTAACAGCGCATATATTATATATAAATAACAATAAAAAATATAATTGTCAAATTATTTAAAAACTTTTTTACTTGATTTTATATATTATTTACTTCAGACAATAAATTATAACAAACATATTATTAATATTATATAATGCATTATATATGTCTCAGCTAAATTAATTAATCCTAAATAAAAAAATTGAAAATTTTGGAAATTAAAATTAAAAATTGAAATTTTTTTTATATTGTATATAAAATAATTACTTAGCAGGTTTCTTTAAAAGTTTGCACAGCATTTATGTTTTGTAAAAATTATAGAAATGCAAGACTCTTTGGTGCATACGATTGTAACTATAAGAGCGTGTTTCAAGTCACAGTCACAGTGAATGCATTATAAATAGTCTTAATTATTTTAAAAGGATATTTGATTATACTTGACTGATAAAAGTAGATTGTTTTATCAGAGATACTTTGCTTTGTTAAATAAGAAATTGTAATTAAATGCATGATTAAATACACATGTTTTTGAAGATATTCAAAACAATTACAATTATTTCAAGATTCTGTATAGCTGGCTCATGAATTTATATATATAATTTAATAATTTAATCTAATTTATTTAATTAATTTGGTTGTTTACTTCTTCTTAGTGTTAGGACTCGTTGACTGAAACACGCTCGATGCTGACATTAAATTCTCAATGTATTGACTCAGAACCTGATTTTCACTTCTCAGCTTGAGATTTTCTTCCTTCACGCTGTCCACCCTCTGTGACAGATCTAAATAAAATACATATATTTACATATTAGAAAATACCAACACATACATCCATCTGTAACATAAACTTTTGTTAAAGTATACACGCACCATCTAAAGTATTCTGCAGTTCGAGAACTTGCGCAATCAGTCTAGCTTTCTCCTCCTGTTCATCTGGGCTGATATCTGGATCTAAACCTATAATCAATTTCAATCTTTTTACATACTGCTTTTTTATTTGTCCATGTTGTAATCTTATAAAATCAAAAATTAAAGAGATCAACATTGTTATAATTTTTAAATAAAATGTATATAATAAATGTATAATAAAATTAGACAAGAGATTTAAAAATAGGAACTAAGATTCTATTTAATTAATATTATGTATTATATTCATCTAAATTATACAAAAAATTAAAAATCAACTATATACTTTTTTTCTTTGACATCATAAGAGATCGATAATATTACTTACTATTTGGACTACAGCTTCCGTTAGTGAATGTCGATGGAATAGAATCCATACTACGTCCTCTTCCTAGCGCATCAGATATATGCGAAGCATTGTCCAAGATTTCCTCTTCTGGTATTATTACTATGAATGTGTAAGAAATAACTTTAGCAAGTTATCCACAATACAAATAAAAAAAATCAGAAAGCTACAGTTGTCACAGGACAAACTGCATTATGCGTAGAATGTGCAAATTATTAAGGATTCCCAAGGATTCGTAAGCGAAAAATATAATCGATAAATATAAAAGAAAGCGACAATACTCAGATCTAACTAATATTAAGTGTCGTTTTTATATCGCAAAATCAGGTTCTGAGAAATAGAGAATACATTATATTGCCACTTATCAGTACATATATTCAGTGTCTTAAATATGGCTGATCTAATTTTCATACTAATATCAACAAATACAATGTCAATACAGACAGATAAAAGCTAGTCAGAAGAAATGAGCAAAGCCAAGTAAATGGCGCTAATAAAAATGAAGATTTGGATAAGAATTTGACGTGCAAAGTAAGTTCGCAATAAACTTGCTAGGTTATAAGTCATCGATAGCGGGGATAGCAACAGCTATTGCGAGAGACGTCACGGAATAAGTAACTCCAAGCACTCACCCTGCGGATCATCGTCTGCGAGAGGTATACTATTCATGTCATCTTGCAGTTTGGCTGTCATTGTCGCTGACATATCGGTACCTGCGAATTGGAATTACCAGGAATCACACACGACTCAACTGACGGACTGACGCACCACGCAACCTGCGATTGACTTAACTTTATCGATCCCCGGACGCGAGAGAGCCAATCGAGATATCGCGATTTTTTCTTCGCGGCGCCATCGGTCTCAACCGCCTATACTGTAATAAATCTTATATGTATAATTAAATGATTTTCTTGTTTACATATCAAGTTTCATTCATCTTTCATGTAATTTACGTGATTTAAAGCTGTAGTTTAACTAGATGCACCGGGTAAGAGACACAATGTCGATACTGTTACACACTTTTATAAAGACAAGAGCGAGAGGATACGCCCGATATTTTTGTAAACATTCCTGATACTTATTTAAACGTGGAATTATTTATTTTTGACGAATAAAACGAATATATAACTTGGATATTTTACGTACGTAATTCCAAAGTGGCGGCGATGCGGAAAATTAGCGAGAATGTGCGAAAAAGCGTACGAAATATAGCGATCGTTTTGAATGTCCGACGTGACGTCACGCTGGCGTTTTCGTTATGTAACTATGGTAACATTTAAATTTGCGCACAGCAGCGCCGTCGTCACCCGTCATGTCCATTTTTAGGATGTGTTCAGAAATCCTCCCGATAGAGTGAAGTAACAAAAAGAGCAAAGATTTCTTTATCCTGATTGGTCAATTCAATGTTATTTTACCCCACAAGTAGGATTTTCGAACGTACCCTTAGAGGCTAAAATTATTTCATTTCCGCGCGCGTTTCTCAATATTGTCGATGCAGTCGCCATTTGGTGCGTGTCATTGTTCGTGATAAGTACTATATATATTTCAACCACGTAAATTATCGCTTATCGTGTCGAATCTCACAAGCAGTCGCCTGATGGTTTAAGCCAACATTTCAGCAGATCGAAGAAAAATATGTTTGCTGTCGTCTACTTCGTCCAGAGGTTTATTTTATACTTAAGTAAAATGAATAAAAAACAAAGAGATGCTGACTTTAATCTTCGTAAATTATAGATTGTCTAAAGAGAGCTTAAAACTTTAATCAAGTTTACATTATTTATCTGTGATGATAACACCGAGTTTTGTTTATAATTTTACGTACCATATATCAATACGCACATATCTAAATACACGATAATAGAAATATATATATAATAAAATATATAATATAGAATACATAATAAAATATATTTAATAGAGTATAATAGAGAGAGAGAGAGAGAATAAAATTTCGCCTCTGCTGCGAATTAATTAGAAATTGTCTAACAATAAGATGAATTTAACCGATGCTTTTTTGGGCTTTTGATTTAACTTCTTTCGCGGTATATATTTCGCTCTATTGCGAATGTGTGAATGTGACGTCACATTGCCGGGACGCAGTGCCACGTTCAAACCGGTTGCCATATTTCGTACCTACTTTCGCGCTTTTCCACCATTTTCCGCGTCGCCGCCTCTTTGGAATAACGCACGCAAAACACGTCCGCGTTATATACTCGTTTTATTCTCGTCAAACATAATTAAGTCCGCGTTTAAATATAAGGTATCATATCGTGTTTATACAAAAGTATTGGGCGTATAATGTAACGTACATAAATAAACGCGTGTGAGTGTGATTAACTGCGTTTTCTCAATCATCAATCGTTTTTCGACGTCGGTCGATTATTAACACGGCGATGGTTTGTTAGCGTTAATTCGCGTTATTTGAGAATATTTTCTTTCATCTCGTATTTACCCGCGAAGTATATCGGAGTTTTATGCAAACATGAAAAGTGTCGAGAATTATAATAATATACACTCAAAAAAATGTCTTGCTGATATAGGTAGATTTCTAGGTGTCACAACAAAAATTTATCGCTATTTTTTGTATCTGTTAGAATATTGTCTGTTACATATAGAATTTATAGCAGCAATATTCTAATAATATCTTCTAGAAAATTTAGGTCCCATTGCCAAATGTTAATCACTGCATTGGATAAATATGAGTTTCGATACTACAGCTAGAACACTCTTTGTGAGAAATATAACTGCCAATTATAACTGCAGCATCGAAAAATTGAGAGAAATTGTTTAAAAGAGCTGGATAGATTGGGCGCGTTATACAAATATGTTAGATGTGAGGATTATATATTTATTTGTTTCTTGCCGCTAATTTTTTTTGTGTACCACAGCCAAACTTTATAACGAGTATGATTGGCCTTAACATGGATAGGCGCCACAGAAAAACATTCTTTCTAAATTTCACAAACAGTTCAGATATAAATTCTGTCTCTGTCACTTAGATTGATTAAATGCGAAACATATGCGATATCACAGTATTTGCTAATCATTTATGTACCTCAGTTAATTTTGCGCACCCAGAAAATTTTTGCTGTAGTTGCAATACCACTTTTTTGAGTGTATGAGCTATAATTATATGAATTAAGGTATGCGAGGTTAATTGTTTCGTAATTCGTTTTACGATAGAAACATAATGCGAGATGCTGAAATAATATGTATTCTTTGCATTTTCCAGATGAATAAATGTCAGGAATGGCTGATAAAATATCGCTCGTTGACCTTTCTGTGAAATATCACCGGAAGCATACGGTTAGAAAACAGACGAAGCAGCGACTGGTAAAGAAATTTATTTATTATTATTACATAATTATTTTAATTATTGTCTATTTATAATAATTGCACATTTCGAGAAACGCATCACCTGCTATTTCATCTTTTCACAGATTTTGAATAAAAAAAGTAGTATTGATATTTTGAGTATTATTTAATAAAATGTTTAAAATATGTGTATACTATTTCTTTTTTTGTCTCTTTATTTCTTTTTCTCTGCGCTTGTTTGTCGCTCTTTTTCTATCTCTCTCTTTGTCTCTGTATCTATCTCTCTCTCCATTCTCTCTCTCTCTTCTCTATCTATCCATCTATCTATCTATTTATCTGTCTGTTTGTTTCTCCACACATTGAACATATATAAACATAATGTTTCTCGTTAAATACGAGAAACATTATATATCATAAAATTTTGATTATATTAAATTTTGTTAATTTAATACTGGCATTTTGCTATCATTTTAATCATACTTTTATAATTAAATTTAGATTTTATTTAAATTAATACAGATACATATATTATATTAAAATAAATATAAAAAGATTATTTTATAATTTTATACATTAAGATTATTTTATATATTTTTCACGATTAAATAAAAAAATTTATAAAAAGTGAAGTTTGATCAGTTTGATTTTTGCGAGAAGCTTATATAAATTAAATTTCATATAAATATATTTCACCAGTATTTTTTTTTCCAGTATTTGATGAGGTACGGCAATGTAGCAGATCAGCATTTGGTAAGTAAATTCATCAAAACTCAATATATTTGCATAACTCATTGTTTATTTTATGATGGCCACTTAATATTCTCGCGTTACATTATCTCTTCGTATATCTAAATTAAATGATAGAAGGTGAAATTTATTTGGACTTACATGTACATAATTCTAAGGGGAAGGAGAGGAGGCAGATTAAAGGTAAACTCGATTTTATCTTAATTTGTGATTAAAATCTAAAAGTGTTGTGATATTTTTAATCGAGTATCTTAAAAATATAAAATTATGCAAATCGGATTGCCTTTATACTATTAGATATTTAAATATTAATTTTAATTTTAATTATTAATATTTCATTTAAATTA